ACAAACACTTGGAGGAGTACCGGCGTCTGGTGGGCGAGCAGAACCGACTGATCACAAAAGAGTTTGTCCAGGAACAACTGCAAATTGGCGAAGATGAAATCTCCGAGCTCAAACTGGAGCTGACCAACTCCGAGCACCGACTGGCCGGCCGACTGCGTCACAACGAACTGTTGGCCGATCATTTGGCCAGCCTCGGCTACGGAAGTCTGGAGACTGGCGGCAGTGCTCGTCATGCCGCGTTGGTGCGCTCGCCGCAGATGCGAAAAGCCATGTTGGCCCAACGACAGGGCGCCAGTGATCTGGTCGGTCTGACCGGCGGCGCCGGCGCCGGTTGTGTCGGCGAAGAGGCGCGGTTCGGCTCGAAGATGATCGACAACATCGCGTTGGCGATCGCAGAGATTCATCGCGAGGTCCGTCTCAAGGTGAAGCCACTGCTCGAATACTATCGAGATCTATTCTATCTGCAGCTGCATTTCAGCCTCATCCTCGGTCAGGTCTGCAACTACTGTATGCCCTTGGTTACCGAGAACATCGGTCTGATTGACAGAATCTTCTTCTGGTCAGAACGGCCCGAGTTCGACTTGGTGCGCCGATCCGGCGACATATCAGACCGGCTCAAAGAGGTCTACACGAGGGGACAAGCCGTACTCAGTGTGTTGACCGAGTCAGTTCGCTTTCTCAAGTCAAAGGTGGATCTACAAAAGTCGTTGGAGGCTCGATTTCGCGAACGACTTGATGAACAGCAACAGCTCAAAGACAAAGTATTGCGTGAGATTCACTCGACTAAACAGAACATGGACCTGTTGGAGGAGGAGAACGATCGTCTCGTCGGCAGTCTGGTCAAATTGGATCCCAGTTTTGTGGACAGTCGACACTTTGCCGAGCTGGCCGATGGATCGGGCCTTAATCTGAACAAGTATCGGGCCGCCGGGCGAAAGGCGAGTGAGCCCAGATCCATCCACGAGTCGCCGAAGGAGGCCAGCTCTGCGATTGTCGGACAGACGCAACATAATGCCGCTGCATCCGTCGACAACAGCAACAGTAACAACAACAACGAACAGCTCCAACAGACGGAGGCAGACGGAGCAATCAGCCCTGCGGTCAATCTGCACACCAACAACAACAAGGCGACCAGCATGTCCGAGGGAGTGCGCTGTAGAGGAACGAAAATGGTGACATTATCGCCCATGCGAGGAGGCGAGGAGGAAAGGGAGGAGGATGAAGCGACCAGTTTGCTCTTGACGACCACCGAGAAGATGACCGATGACTCATCGCATCACGGTCTTCTGTCCAGCCGCATGGATAGTGTGGACGAGGAGAAGAAGGAGAAAAAGGAGGAGGACAGGTTGAGTGAGCTCAGGGCTCGAGACCGGCTCGGTGGCTGTTTGAACTCGGAGCCGAGAGTATGCAAGACGCCAATCAGAGG